AATGAAAATATTTTAAAAGTAGATTCTATTAAGAATTATTTTTCATACGAATGTATATTTATGCACATATATATATACACACACATAATTTTTTGAAATAGGATTTCAAACATAGTAAACAAACCTTTTTTTACATTTTTTTTAAAAAAATGTATAAGACTAGAGCATAACATGAGCAAATCACTAACAAATCTCAACCTTACCATATATTTACTTTAGTTTGTTTTTGTTTTTGTTTTAATTTTTCAGTTTGCTGTAGGGCACATGTGCTTGCCAGTGAGAGAGAGTGAGAAATCACGCCCCCAGGGGTGATGGTCATGCCGCAGTCTCATCTCTCAGGATTTTGGGCAATACACACATGTACCTGGCATGTTTTTCAAGCTGCTGGGTCAGGGACGCGAACTGCACAGTTAGCCATGTGGGATCCAGCTACTTTAGCTGCCATGACACCAATGGGCCCTAGATCTTTTATTAAGAAATTTGCCATAAATATACTTAAAGTTCTCATGTGTTTACTGTTGCTTTCTTCATAGAAATTTTCACTTTCATAGATTCTGGCTCCTCTTTTTTTCTCTTCCCTCTTTCCTCTTTTCTTTAATATGCCAGAAGGCTAATGTGCGTGAGAGAGAGAAAGAGAGAGCAAGAAAGCACCCCACAATGGGCCCCGCTCAAGTTGCAGTTCTTTTTTCCTACATTTCTCCATGCTGTCAAAATCCTGGGCATGCATGCATTTACCCAGAATGCTTGTCAAGCCTCGGGGTCCAGGATTTAAACCACAATCAGCCATGTGATTAAACACTGCATAATGGGACCAGCCTATCTGGTTCCTTTTCTCTGTGCCTTTATCATATAAAAATAACTATTTTTTGGGAGCCAGCAGTTAGCGTAATGTCTATGTCGCTGGACTCCCACGTAGTCGACCGCGGTTTGTGTCCCGGACCCGGTGGCTTAAAACTCACGCCGGGCGCGTGTGCGTGCGTGCCCAAGATCCCGAGAGGAGAATGGAGGAGAAGGGATTGCGGTGTGACCATCCCCCCGGGGGGTGATTTCTCGCTTTCTGTCTCTATGTCTCTCTCTGTCTGTCTGGCGAGCGCACGCGCCCTACAGTGAAAATCTCTCAA